ATAAACTAAATTTATGAAGGACTGGTGAGCATATGGTGGAAATCTACTTTACTCCTCTAAAAGAGAGGGTTGCTATTACTTTAAAGAGGTATTTGGGAAATGAAATTTCTGTGTGAAAAGCTGTATACATTAACACCTGGGAATTTTATTTTCAGGCATAGAAACTAGCAGACTTCTTGGACATATATGTCAGAAGACACATATGGAGGTTCGCTGCAGTTTTGTGATGCACTCAACTGCAGACAGATTACCATATATTCTTATGATGATGGACTCTATGTGTAAAAAATGGATGAATAATTTTAATAGATGGATGAATTTTTAAAATACAGTAAATTTCAGAATTCTGTGTCAATCAAAGCATCCACACATTTTCCAAATTATATAATAAATAACTACATATTTTTGTAAAGCTATGAATATGATGATACACACAGAATTCATAGCCTTAACCATAATGCATCTATGAACTTTTTCTATAATGTTCTATAATTTCTATAAAGAGGATAGTCTGATGCAATAGTGAGAGTTTGTTCTTTACCCGATATTTCAGAGTACACCAACTAAATGCATGAACTAAGTATAATCAGCAACATGAGGAAAATTGTGAAGATAGGAACAAGTTTGCAGAATGGAATATTAAAAATTTTCTCTTAAAACATACCATGGGAGGAGTATAAATCAGACTGAATCGTGTGAAGTCAAATCATTAAAAAATAATACACTACAAAAATATTTTACGAAAGTTCTGATGAAAGAATAAAGCAGTTCAAATAATGCACTGATCTCTAAAATACAAGGAACAGATTGTGGTGATCAAAACTAAACATTATGTGAAGCACAGAAGGCAGAGCAAATATTCAAATTATAAAAAAGTTCATTAAATTATCAATCAAAAAGGGCTTGAAGAACATCTTCCTAAGATTAAAAAAAGAGACAGTTATAATTAAAGTGTACATCTCACATTAAGCAAATAATAAAAAATCTCCAGGATTTAGATATATTTTGGTTAAAAATTGAATTTGAAAACTGAAGTTTTTTTTCCTCTACAGTGTAGTAGAAAAAAGCCCATCAATAAATATGATCAAATGCAGGCATTTTTGTCTTTATATTTTCATTCAAACACTGGAGGAACCATTGCTACAGAAGCTGAGAGGGAAGTTTCTGTGCACAAGAAATTATACACATTGCCAAAGTTGTACCTATGGAAACTTAATAACAACAACAGCAGTAATGTTCTTTTGTTTTTTTTAATAGAAGAATGTCACCTACATAGTTCCCCTAATAATGCTCCTCAGCACACACTGTCATAATTTCAGGATTTGCACTAGTTTCCTCAGAAGATAAAATGAAATACTCAACATGAGTTGTTTATAGATGAACAGATCTGCTGTGAACACTGAAACCAGTGGAAATATAGACTTCGGAAGTCTAAGACTTACTATAGACTCATTAAGGTCTAAGAAATTTTAGTGATGAAACCTAAAAGTTTTCTAAAAAATACATCTTAAAGGAAACGACATACTTTTAAAAGTACTTCTGTAACAAAAAATGGAATCTGAATATAAATTTTTGTAGTAAATAAATAGAAATTGTTAAGACTGATGGATTGGTAATAAGCACACTATATATCTGAGCAAATAGTAAATAACAGGTATAGTCTCACTGCTAAAATTAATGAGTACAGGTAAGTAAGTTCTGTTATGTATTTCAATGCTAAAGGTAACCTCTACACTGAAAACAATACAAAATTAATTGAAACAATAATATTGAAGGTACTTTATTTAATAACATAAAACAAGAAAAATGTCAGTGACAAGTCAGCAGAGAACACAAAACATCAGATATGATGACAGAAGGAGAATTAATTTGAATATATTATTTCAAAGTAAAAAATGATTTTTTTTAGAGTACAAGTGAGCACAAGGAACCTAGATACTGAACCTGAATTTTTACCAGGAGAATAATCATTCAATCCACAACATGTGCATTGAATTTTATGTTCACAAATATGTTAAACTTATTTCTTACCATTTCATATCTTTTTTTTTCTTTCATTGAGTTTATTGGTCCATTTTAGGTACACAGTGCAGTTACATTCATTATTGGGATCTTGTATCTCTACATAACAGGTCTTGGTTCTACCATTTCATATCTTAATACAGTGAGTGAGAACTTGAGATGGAGTGGTGTGATAAAAAAAAAACCCTAAAATATTAATGTTCATTGCAGTACTCTTTTTTTTTTTGTACTGGGGATTGAACTCGGGTCTTTGCGCTTGCAAGGCAGGCCACCGAACTGCTGAACTAAATCCCCAGCCCTCACTGCAGTCTTTTAAAGGTATCTTCTATGGATATTTAGCCAATAATCATAGAAGACAAGGTTGAAAAATAGTAAGTAGGGTGTCTTGGTGTTTATCCTTACAAAAGTTCAAGATAAGTGATGAATTCAGAAAGAGTTGCCAAGGAGAAATAAAAGAAAGTAGGAAAAACTTGGGAATTGGAGGGCTTCTAGGTTTAGAAAGATCCAATTCGTTCCAAGCTCCACATTTTAAGGAATTAGAATGGAAAAGGTGTTGAAAGAATGAGATTTTAGTAACACGTTTCAGTGAATGAGGATAATGACCAGATTAAAGGGCTAACTGTCCCACCCATTTTAAAAGATAGTCCTCAGAAAAGTACCATGAATGAGAGGGAGGGAAAGACAGCCGGAGGAAGGGAAGAGATAGAGGGGGAAGGGAGGCGAAGGAGGGAAAGAGGGAAGGGGGGAGGGGGTTGTGTGTCAGGAAGCAAACTCAGTTTTGAGAATCATATCTACTAGGAATTTTGAAAGACTTCATGTGTGATTACTAGTACATGAAATAGGGCTGAAACAAATAGAACAAACTCTTTCAAATTCTCCGATAGTATGAGATTTGAAAGAACTTCTGACCCCATCTTTCATTATCAAGCAGTTAGCTGAGAACAGTGAGCCAGGCTTATTACAATATACTTCAGATAAGGTCCCAGGATGACAATACCGAAGACAAATTTCCTAGAAAGTATGTGATAATCAGAAAGGGTGACCTCACAATGAGAACAATTTGGACTCAAGACACCTTCTTACCCACATGATAGAGAGCCTTCACAATACCTAATTTTGAAAATTTTAGCTTTGCTATGTGTTAGAGATACACTAGTTAGCTATGGTGTGAATGTCTGCATATCCTCAAATTCTGATACTGAATTCCTAATGTGTTCATTAGACATAGTAATGGCATTAAGGAGTGAGAACTTAGGGAAGCGATGTGCTTGTGAAGGAGGAATCCGTAGAAAAATGTTCCAAAACTCTGCCTTGCCCCTTCTACTGTGTAAGGACACAGAAAGAAAGTACCATCTGTGAATCAGGAGGAGGATTCTCAAGAGGTCCCAAGTCTGCTGATAACTAGATATTGGACTTTTCGTCCTCCAAAATTGTGAGAAACATTTTTTTTTTGTATTCATAACCTACCAAGACTATGGCAGTTTGTTATTGTAGCTTGAACAGAAAAATATATGTTTGTATTCTTTTTTTCCTCTGTTTTTCATAGAGAGATCTTTCTTCCCTTCTCTTTTCCTCTATTTCCTTTCCCTCTACTCGCTCTCATTTTTAGTACCTCCCTCCCTCCTTCCTTCCTTTATTCTTTCTTTCTATAACATCCTTTACCATATTCATGCTCTGGACCAATGTGTTGGAAGTGGACATATAACTGACTTTTAGCTTATCTGTCACCAAATGCTATGTCAAAATGATATGGTACTTGGCCAGAAAAGAAGAACGTGTAAATTGCAGAAAAGGAGAGTATGCTTGCTGAAAAGATTAACACTAAAAAAAAGCCGAGTAGTTTGCATTAGGATAATACTCAAGAGAGCTTGAAGGCATTTCAGTAATTGGCCAGACCCCATACAGGGTCAAAAGAGCAAAATATAAACCTTTCATTTGACAAAAGAGTATCTGGGTCCCTTGCTCCAAAAGGACTGCCTAGAGACTTGGTTTTCTGGGTTTTTTTTTTTACCTGAATTAAGCTATCAATGCACTCAGAAGGCTTTGCAGCCATATTCCACTGAGGTCTGGCTATTGCTCAAACTAGAAGTCAAATTTTGTATCATTCGTGTGGTCCTTTTTTTCTGACATGAAGAATAGAAGAAGTTGGAAGACATAAGAGCTTTCCATCAGATTTCAAAGGAAGATCTGGGAGCCCAAGCAACATGCCTCTGAGAGGGTGATATGCAAAGCTGTGTGAAGTCTGAAGCACAATGGAAAACACAAGGTGCTGAAGATGCCAGTAATGTGGGGATCTTCCAGCAGTTAACAGAACTAGCCAATGTGAGAGTCCATGTAGGTTCCAACCGTCAGGACCACAGAGGCAGGGATACTCAATCCCTTTCAAGTTCACATCTCATCACAACTTGCCCTGGACTGTAGATGTGAAGGTATAAGAGTTAATGTTGCCTTGTAAGATTAAAACTTGCTTTGTCCTTCTTCCTTTCTATCTTGAAATGTCTCCCTTTTGGAATGGGAATGTTTACCCTGTGCAAGTGCGTGTTGGAACTATACTTTTGAGCTTTTCAAGTGCTCATAGATAAGTTTGCCTGGATTCTCAGGGAAGATTTGCCCTTGGGCTTTTTAGCACAGCTGGAACTGTTATGAAAATGACAACGCTTAGAGGTACTCTAAAATAATCTTTCTTAATGAGATGGACATGAACATTTTGGAGGCCATGGTTGGAAAGGCGTCACTTAAATCTAAATATCCACCAATATATCATGTTTCAAAGATAAGGGGATCTTGAGGACACTGTAATCATCACTGGATTCACCTATTGATAAGTTCCGTAGCTGAACGTATTGTGGAGATAGGCTCTGGTCAGAGCATATAGGTCATAGAGGGGTTACCCAGACAGATATATTCTTTTTTTTTCAGCTTTAATTGAGTTTTTTGGTACATTTATTCTTGTTCTTGACTCCTCCCTTCTCTCTCAGCTTCCTGACCACTGTGCTGTGAAGTTTCCTCCATCAACCCCTTCCACCACGCTGATTATGCCTTGGACCTCGCCGATCATGTAGTAAACTCACGGAAACGGAGCCAAAACAAAGCTCTCCTCTTTTAATTTATGAGTTTTACATATTCTGTCCCAGTGATGGGAAAGCTGACTAATTCCATATACATAATTTTATATGTTTTCAAAAAAGGTGACTAACGATAAAAGAGTATCTGAAATTATGACAAGAAACTGTTTAAGATTATGTTTATAAAGTTAAATGCGTTCATGAAATAGATATTTCAGGAAAATTTTCTCTCATACAAATGTAATCAAGAAATAGAAACCTTAAATATATCAATTAGTTTCCAGAGAAACAAGAGAACTGAACTACATTAAAATGGAGTGCCACCCTAAAATTTATAGGAAGTGATTTATCCTAAATCATTATGAAATAAATTTCTCATCAATTTATGTAATTTATGCTTCTACAGATCACAAAAGAAAATGAGCCCTTTTGAAATTAATTTGATGAAGGAAACACAGAGTTAAAATAAAGAACAACATGATATTTCTTGTTTAGTCTTATGTTCGCAGAAAAATACACGCACTGAATAAAATATTATCAATTCACACATAGCAACTAGAGTTAAAGAAAACACATTATGAACAAGTATGTTTTGTTTCAGTAAGGTATATATTTTTCATTTTTGAAACTTCTACTAATGAAGTTCATCACAATAAGGGGAATGAAGCAAAAGTATATGGTTATCTTGAAATATTCCAACAAATCCTAATTAAAAAGAATTAACATCATTTATGTAATATCATTGTTACCTAAAATATAAATATTCTTAGATTAAAAGGGTAAAACATACTTATCTCAAGTTTACATATGGAGCAAATTCCACAATGTAAATGGCAGAATATGAAGGTGTTCTTATTAACACCTGGGGTGCAAATAATTTTTTTCATACTATTACTGGAATTTAACTGTCTTTTGGAAATTATATCCATTACAAGAAAAACATACATTTCTTGAAAAGGATACAGATATACTTCTCAAGTCAGGCATAGTTGTGCATGTGTGCTATGTCAGCACTCCGGTGGCTGATGTGGGAAGTTTGATGAGAGTTTGATCCCAGCATGGGCTACATAGTGAGTTCAATATCAGTCTGAATTACATAGCAAGACCATGTCTTAAAAATGCAGAAATGTAGAGGGTAGCAGCTTGGCTCAGTGGTAAAGTAAGTGTTTCGCATGGGCAAGGCCCCAGGCTCAATCTCTAGTAGCAACAAAGCATACACATATATTTCATATAGAGCTGTTTATTATATAAATAATTTACACTGCAAATAGCAATAAATATACAAAATTAAAATGGTAATAAATGTGTACATGTAGGAAAAATGTGTACATATAATAATAAAAACAAAACTTTACTTAAAGACAGATGAATTTGTAAGTGGGATGTGTTTGTAAGTGGGAAACCTGAATATAAAAGATATATCTTTCATACTAAGTCAACATAATGAAAAGCAGAGAAGGAATTATATGATACAAATAGAAAAGGTAAATATTTTAATATGTAAAAAGCCTTATTGCAAATAAAGTTTGTATCAGTAAAATATCTATGTCCTTGGTAAAGCAAAAACTTATATAACATTTTACAACAATATATTAACATTATTATTTTCATTGTACAGGTAAGAAACTTGAGGATCCTTCCGATTCATTAACTTCTCTTCAGTTCCCCAAGTAGTTAGTGGTAGTCCAGGTATCCAAATCCTGATCCACCTGATTTTACTGCTCATATGTATTAGATTACAGTTCAACACTTTTTAATTTATTAATATTATAACCAAAGCTGGGTAGTTGCTGTAATTTTACATTATAGCATAATTCCTGCCTCAACACTCAATTTTAAATATTAATTTGTTCACATAGTCATTCTCTTTAATGCTTCAATTTCCCAGATCCTGAAATAAATAGGTTTTCTACAACTCATGTTAGAGGAGTTATTAAACACTTGTGTTCCATATTAGCTATTGAGTTGCTAATGTAAGGCAAATAGTTTTTTCAGCACTAGGGTAGAGAAAAGATCATGCACACACATCTTTTTCCCTTATGAAGTTTTATATCGTAGTGATAATGAAAATGAACACGACACACAAGAATTAATTATATAGTACATTAAAAGGTGAAAGGGTGTGGAGAAAAATTAAATAGGGTAAAGATAACAGGGGAAGGTGAGGTGATTATGTGCTTATGCCCTTTGTAAATAGGGTAGTTAATGTCAATATTATTGATAGAGCAGGAAATAATTGGACAGGACTGAAAAGATTTGAGAAAGTGAGCTATGAGATACCTGGAGGAAGAACATTTCAGTTAAAGGATCATACAGCTCTAAAGATAAAAACATTACTCTAATGATACACAAAGAACAAGCCTCATATTGAAATAAGCAAGAATCACATGACTTTCCTGTTCCTGTTCCATCACTGAAAGGAGCTACTGAAAAATATAAAGTATTAATGTGTATAAAATTCCTATCACAGATTAGGATTTAAATATGGTAGTTCCTTTTCCTTTTGTTGGTCCCACCACTCAGTTGATGAAACAGATTGGTTTATGATATTTTGTCGATAACTAAGTTTAGCAGTCACCACCCACAGTGTTAATGGTTTAGGTAAGTATCACTACAAGGGTTCAAAGGGAATTTCCTAAACCTAGAGGCATAAATGTTTCTTAAACACAGGCTTTGATCCAGGAGTAAAAGTAAAGGTAGAAAACCAGAAATAGAGTTGGAGCCAGGAAAATCCTGCATCTGCAAGTCAATTAAAGGGCAGGACTTCGTGGGAACACAAAAAATAATGATTAATTATCATCCCCATATATTTTCAAATACTTTGTTGGATAATCCTTTGATATGACAATGCCCTGTAACATTGTGAGAAATTCCAAAATTTCTTCAGTTTATCTGTGTACAGTAGGCTCATTTGAGAGGTGTTTACATTTCTTCATTTATTTAACCAAGATCAAAACTCCATCATCACTCATTTAATTGAAATAATTTCTCTCTATTCTCATACTAATTAGCTCTCATGAAAGATATCCCTCCTGTTCTTGGACCTGTCAGGAATTTGGTGGCTCTTTTGTCAAAGACAAGGTGGCTGAATGTGTTTGGAGTTTTTCTGCATCTCCTAATCTGCTCCGTTGATGATCAAGTATATTTTTCCCCCAGCACCATGGAATGTTTTAAAATCACAGTAGCTTTGTAGTGTAATTTAAAGTCAAGGATTGTGATGTCTTTTGCCTTGCCCCTATTACTTTGAATTGTTTTTGGGCTTCTAGTTCTCCCCCGTTTCCAAATAGATTTTAGGATTCTTTTCTCTAATTTTGATCAATATTGCATTAAATCTGTAGAACAATTTGGGGAGTATGGTCATTTTCACTGTGTTATTCAATAGTTACATTAATCGTGAGGATCTTGTACCTTAACACAATGTATCTTGGTTCTTATTTTTGCCCTTTCCCTGGCCTCCCTTCACCCCCTCCTCCCTTCCCTATTTACAAATACTTGTTTCCATTTTTCCCTTTTCTCTTTTTGGCTTTCCCCTACCCTTACCATGTCCCCTACACCTTTAGTCCTTTTTCCCTATTATGCGATATCAGTTATCCATTTTGATCCTTGTTTACACTTTTAGTTTATCATACCTGAGAAACCATATGATGTGTACACATGTGTGTCCTATTAATTTCCCTTAAGAGTATGTCCTCAATGTGCATTGACTTAGCTATAAATGTCTCTAGTTTTTCATTCTTTATGGCTTAGTAGTACTCCATTTTATAAAACAACAACAATAACACATCTTCTTTATTCAGTCTCCAGTTTATTGTACTGTTTCCAAGTTTTAGCTATTACAAACCGCGGCTATAAATATGAGAGCATATATCACTGTGGTATGATTCTTTTGGAAAGATACCCAGCAGAGGGATGGCTGGCTCAAATGGAACCTCTAGTCCCAGCTCATTGAGATATCTCCATATTGATTTCCACAGTGGTTGCACCAGTCTGCACTCCCACCAACAATGAAGAAGGATTCCTTTCTCCCCACAACCCCGCCAGCTTTTGTTATTTGTTGATTTCTTGATAGCAGCCATTCTTTCCGGGGAGAGGTGGAATCTCAGTGTTGTTTTCAACTGCATCTCTCGAATGACTGGATTTCAACTTGCCAAAAGTTAAAACTAGATCCCCATCTTTCACCACTCACTAAGCTAAAATCCAAGTGGATAAAAGATCTAAATATTAAAACAGAAACACTAAACTTGGTGGAAGATAACTTAGGTAGAACTCTTGAAGACATTGGCATATGAACAAATCCTCAGTAGCACGGGACTAGTACAAAGAATTAACAAATGGGATCTCTCCTTTTTTTTTTTTTTGTTCCAGGGATCAAACTCAGGTCGTTGCCCTTGCTAGACAGGCATTGGAACTAAATCCCCAGCCCTGGATCTCATCTTTTTAAAACGCTTGTGCACTGCAAGAGAAACCACTCACAGAACTAAGAGTCAACCTACAATGTGGGAAAAAAATTTTACCAGCTGTGCCTCAGTCAAAGGTCTACTATCTAGAATATGTAAAGAACTCAAAAAAATCAGAACCCCTCCAAATATAAAGACACGATACAAAAATGGGCACCTGAGATGAACAGACATTTCTCAGATAAAGAAGTAAAAGCAGCAAATAAACATATGAAAAACTGTTCTTACTTTTTAATGTACACATCAGCAGCTGCTAAAATTTAGATATAAACTATCTCCCAAATGTCACACATATTTGGAAGATGATTGAAAAATGGAACCTCTTCAGTGGATTAGTTCACTGATGAATTCATAATTAGCTTGCTTTTCAGAAGTGGGTCACTGGGGATGTGACCTGGAAGTATGCATTCTGGTCTCCTGCTCCTTCTCTCTCTACTTTCTGGCTGCCATAGTTTGAACTGCTTTCCCCTGGAAGGCCCCTCAGCCATCATATTTCTGCCTTGAAGCAGCTGAC